ACTGGCCTTTTACAGTCCTCGATCCAGCTCAGTAAAAAGCAATGAAAAGCAACGCCAAAAAACTACCAATTCACCCAAATTAAAACTAAACGGGAACAATATATCGTTAGTAACGAATTCACAACCGAGCACGATGCAAGGTTCTATAAAAGCATGTGGATCTTTTGAATTATCAACATCCTGTCAGAAAATCTAAGGTTGATACATGCGCAGTAATGGGATAGTGTTCGTTTAAGCTTCCGGCCTCCCGTTCATATAAGCGACCACCTTTAACACCCTGCCTTACTAAATACATGGTATACTGGCCACAGTTCCTGGAAAGCCGATTAAACTATCCCCCACTTAGCAGTTAAACGACGATTAAATTTCTTATCCTTAGGATAACTAATCAAGGTATAAAAGCAGGTTCCTGAAAGCAGATTTATCCCTCGATTAGCTGATCCTGGATTAGTGACAGTTTAAACCGGATAAACCAGTTTTTCGAATATTTGGCGCGCAACATTTGCATTTGGCGCAGAGGAAAAAAGTTCAAGAAAGGAAAATAGTGGGAAAAGAAGTGATGGAAGTTGAAATAGAGGCCGAAAGGAAAAGAAAACCAAATTTTAACGAATTATCTCTCATAACAGAAAGTATGCGCAAAAATATTGATATAATTCAGTCAAAGTTGACAAATAACATCACCAACAAGTAAAAATACCAAATATGGGAAGAAATAACGAAAGACGTGAATGTGGTGGGGAAAGCAAATCGTACTGTTCAAGAAGTAAAAGTTAAGTGGGAGAATCTCCACTCGACAGAAAGCAAAAACAAAAACAAAACAGAAGGAACTTTGTAACTTCTCAAAAGATGGCTTCCATCACCAACCCCCTGCCCTGGATGAAACTTTTTGTACTTGGCAATGACATTGTTGGCATAAATGATTCATTTATTTTCGCTTTGTGTTCCCTACCATTATGGTTGCACATTGCTTGTACATTGATGGAGTGAAATCCTTTCCGGTTAACAAAATCGTTTTCGTTCGTGCTGGGTGCCTGAATCCTCACATGGGTCCCGTCGACGCAGCCAATTACACCAGGGAACCCTCCCTTGTCGTAAAACCCTCGCTTGACTACTTGCAGTTCGGCGAGAGACGGCCACAAAATGAATTTTTTCTGCTTCTGGGCTAGAGCAAGCGACACATCTTTTACCATCCTTGAGACAGAGGATTTTGGGAGGCCGACGGTGTCACCGATGGGTTGTAGCCGAGAAAGCTGCCCCTCACAAAGAAATCCAACGCTACAAGAATTTGTACTTGTAGTGTCGGCGACACCCGGGGGGGGGGGGTACTTTAGGAATTTTGGGGTGGGGATGTGCCGCTGGGACTCTGGAACCCTTTACCTATACCAGAGCTAGTTCAGCTAAATTTTGCTACCCTATACTACAGTAAATTCGCCAAATCCCCCCTATCCTAGAGCAGCTGTTTCCCTAGTCTAGATAAAATCTTCAACCAACTGATCAGTTTCCTAAAAAATGATACCCTATTCTAGACCCAAACGCCCTGATTTATATACCCTATCCCAGAGTAAACTGCTTGAAAACCATACCCTTCACAGCGGCACATACCTATATAGCCCATATATGGCAGTACCCCCCCCCCCGGGAGGCGACAGCGCATGGTTTCTCTTCGTCTGTCGCTGCAGATGGTTTTCAAGGATTTCTGTGAGAAATTCAATAGAATCTTGGCCAAATCGGTATCTACTCCGAAGTTCCTCGTCTGAAAAGTCTTGAAGAAAAATTTCGTGCTGACGAAACACTTTTTCGCGTATTTTTGGAGGAATTATTGGGATTAGTAAGTCCCAAATGAAGTGGTCTAGGTTGAACCAAGGGAGGAGAAGAGGGAACCGAAATTCTTCATCTACCTAGAAATAATTGGCCCAGTTTTTATAACATAGTCCTTATATCTTAAATCCAATCCGCAGTCGGCAGTCCGCATTCCGCAGTCCGCAGTCCGCAGTCCGCAGTCCCCGTTTTATAATGACCAAAATTTATTACATGAAGTAGTAACCACGTTGGCAACTGCTTAGGTTTTCTCCTCGTCTGTCTCGGCTCTCGAGGTCGTTCTTGAGGATTTCTTCCAACTGTTGAATTGACTCTCAGCCAGACCTGTATCTACTGCAATTAGCTCTTCATCAGTGAATTGGTCGAGATCAATTTCTTGCTGTCGGAACTTTTTTGCACGTATTTGTGGAAACGGTAAGTCCGCCATTTTGTTTGTTTTTAGACGTGTCTAGATACCCGGCAGCCGGGAACTGTTTTCAAAAAACTAGATACCCGGCAGTCAGAAATTTTGACCAATTTTCTCCAAATAGCTCGTTTAATTCCTCTAAGAACATAAGATATTTGTTTAGAAATCTCAAGCGATTATAAATATTGCCTTGGGTTAAAAGTAGAAGCGACTGTCGAGCTTGGGCTTAGAGTGAAATCTCAATGTTTTCGACACTTAGAAAATATTCAAGTTCTGGCATACTAAGTCAACTGCCGATGAATATCCACAGAAATTATCAACGAAACCTCACCAGAGTATCCTGTTACTAAAGTGGCCCTGTATTATGTAGTTGCTCCGTTTGTTCAGAAATGCCAAGCGATTCTAAATAAAGGTTTCGTGTTGTTGTGGACAAATTCTCCGCGCTTGCATTAAGCATATTCTTAAGAATCTTGACTCACGGGTACGGTTTTCAAAATACTAGACGCCCGGCAGTCGGAAATTCACGTCCAATTTACACGAAATATCTCATTGAATTTGTGTAAAAACATCAGGAAGCTGTTTAGAAAACTCAAGCGATTTCAAACACTGCCTTGGGCTTGAAGTAGAGGCAATCGTCGAGCCTGGGCATAGAGTGAAATTTTCATAGTTTCGACACTTCAAAAATATTCAAGTTCTGGCACACTGAGCGTGACGTGATAATCAGCTCTCGGGTGATCCACAAACATATTATTGTCCAAACCTTCCCCAAGCATTTAATGTTTGTTGGCATAAATCCCAAGTGATTCTCGCCCAGAAAATTCAGATTGTGGTGGCGTCAAGGCAAATAAAAAGGGAAGAGGTCTTGCTTCCGGTTGCTGTCCGTCGCCCAAAAACGCCTGAGCTTAAGTTAAACTTTATACGTGGCAACGTCACGCATTCCGTCACAATCTGAATTTTCTGGGCGAAACGGCTTTTTTTGGGGGAATTTTCTGTTTAGAATATCCGAGTAGATGCAGCGAGAAAGTAAATTGTCATTTCGCAAACTACAGATTGTCATTTCGCAAACTGCAGATTTTCATTTCGCAAACTACATATTTTCATTTCGCAAACTACAGATTCTCATTTCGCAAACTACAGATTTTCATTTTGTATCATTCCATTTCGTTTTGTTTCGCTCCATTTCGTTTCGCAAACTACAGTAAGCCGTTTTTACAAATGTTTTCCCCCGATTAGTAACTTAATTGACCTCGCTAGGTGGGTTAAAATTAACACTTGATTTATTCCTAGATTAAGGTTAATCATGCTTTCAGGAACAGAATCTAATCGTGGGACAAAATGTCTTCCGCGATTAGCGAGATTTAATCCTCAATTGGCGCTAATCGGCTTTCCAGGAACCATGGCCTGGACTTTTATCTTTCAAAAGGGTAGCATAAAAGTTACAATCACAGGAGAATAACTTATTTGGGGACATCACACAATCAGATGTTAATGACTCAGCTCCTCTGAATATAGTGCTTCAGGATAGTTTTAATGGAAAGTTCCAAGCTAAGGACATGATCATAACACACTTGGGTATATATTGAAAAATATGTTGTAGTTTCATTGCTTAGTTTTTTTTGTCTTTTTGAAACGAAGACAAATGCTATCTTGAGGCTGAAATACTGAAAAATGAAATAAGCGACCCCTTTAAATAAGTGTCTCCCCCTCATATAAGCGTTCGCGACAAATACGCACCCCTATAGACCATTCCCGCATTCGTCACAAGCACGCGCGCGAAAACATGAAAGTGAGGCTCGGGTGGACAAACATCAAACATGGCAGACAACACCGAGAAACCTGAGGCGCAAACTGCGAAAGATATCCCGTGGTGTAAGTCTCTTAAAAGCTTGCCAGTGTTTACAAGGAAAGAGATAGATGAACACCGGAACAATAGTGGCAAAAGAAAGGCTGACGACGTTTCGAAGCCTATTAAAAAAACCCTGAAGCGCGGCTTAAAATTTCAAGAAGAACGGTATCTTTCATCAGACACAGTGTATACGAAGGTATTTGGTAACTCGTTTATGGTAAAAGCAAAGTGTCGTGCCAGCATGAGTACTCGAGAAATTCACGAACTAGAAGTTTCACTCGATGTAACATCTGGGAATGTCACGGAAGCACACTGTACTTGCAGAGCTGGCAAAAGTGGATACTGTAATCATGTGATGAGTCTTCTACTTGAACTCGCTCGTTACTCTTTGGAAGACTTTGACAGGATACCCGAGGAAGCAGCATGTACAAGTATGTCAAGGAAATGGGGTATTCCAGGTAAAGTATAAATTGATTTCAATTAGCTGTAAGTACCTACCTGTACTTTTGGGCAGCTCATGCAAGTAGTTAACATGTTCGGTTTTTCGCCTGCTAGCAGAAGAATTAAACTGATAATAGCATAGGTCATGCTGAAGCACGCCTTGATAAAGTTGTATGATGTGTCTGAAAGTTTTGAAGTGACTTAAGCATTATTCACATAGTGATCAAACTTTTTCTGTTCTTGTTCTAAGGTGAGAAAGGTCTACCTAAAGAACCCATAATGAAGACATCAGTTCAAAAGGAGTTAACGAACAAGGGAATAAAACCAACTCTGTATGATCCAAGAGTCAAGGAAAGAAAAAGATTAGACATTCGTGGAGTTCAAGTAATGCAAAAGGAATTGGAATCAATTCATCCTCTTATTGGTTTTTCCCATGTCATCCCAAAAAAGCCTGAATTGCTGACTAATATAGACACCAGGTATGGACCAGTGGTCATTGGATCTCCCTCTCTTTTCATTTAAGTTCTTTGGAGTTCAATTTCACTGTTGTCACTAACCTGAACCGGCAGTTAACCCTGCTCAAGCAGATTCAAGTGACATTTACAAAGTAAGCTTGCCATTCCATTTCCCAGATTTACCTGAAGCTGTTCATTTCAGTACTGTGCAACAAACATTCATTGAACACTTAAGAGTAACTCACCAAGAAAGTATTGATATTGAGAAAAGGACTGTTAAGCAAAGGGAATGTGATGAGTGGATAAAACACCGCAAAAATAGACTTGGATCATCTGTGTGTCACAGAATATATGTAAGGAACCGAAGTTTCAATAATCTTGCAAAGGAACTTAACCAGCCATTTAAGCCTCTAGATGAAATTCCAGCAATTCAGCAGAGAAAGCTAAAGCATGGCATAAAATTTGAGCCAGTTGCAAGAGAAAAATATTATGATGTCATGAAGCACTATTTGAAGAGGCCAATAACCTTGAGAGAGACAGGGATGGTGATTCCCCCTTGCATGTTTTGGCTTGAAGGCAGTCCTGATGGTCTTGTTATTGATCCATGTTCCTCATCTGGGAAGATAGGGACAATTGAAATGAAATGTCCAGAGGGAAAGAAGAACCACACCCCAGAGGAGGCAATGCAAGATGAATCGTTTTACATTGAATTAGTTGATGGTAAACCCAACCTGAAGAAAGATCATCACCTAGGATATTACACCCAAGTCCAGCTAGTTATGGGTTTCTGTGGTTTAGAGTGGGTTGACTTTGTAGTCTATCTATTTAAAGGGATGATCATCACAAGGGTTCCATTTAATAAAGATTATTTTGACCAAGTAGTATGTAAAGTAAACATCTTCTATGTAAAGTGGTTTCTTCCTCAGGTCATGGCCTAAATGCAGTTTAGTATATTGTGCATTGTGCCTGAGCAAACGGTGACATTACAACGTGTACCAGTTTTCCATAGTATCTAGCTTTTAGACTCCTGTTGATGGGTGTTAGGGCTTCAAGGATAAGGTTACTTTGCTCGTTGCAATGTTATTACAGTACAGTAAAAACCCATGTATAAGAACCTAAAATTTAAGAACCTGTTAGGCTAAAATGTTTATTTTAAACCCCCTTTTCATAATAACCTATTTAGCCTAAAATTTTCAATAGGTTAATATTTTACAAAAATGAAACAGATGAAAATACGGAGAAAAACTTTTAGTCTAGGTTTCAGTCAGTAAGATTCAAACAATGAACTAAAATGAAAACCATATCATGTCTTTGCCAATACTGGATTACACAATGCAATATTATTATTAAGAATACAGATCTCTCTCATATGCCCGAGAGTAGTTATCTGTGCTGATCACTAGTACCCCTATCAAAATTAAGAGCCTGTTTAAGAACCTAAGTAGCCCAGAATCCCACTAAATACCATTTCTATAAGAACCTATTTAGGCTAAGTTGGAAAAATCTAGGTTCTTGTATGCATATTTTTACTGTATTTTATTGACAAATATACGAGAAGGAGTATTTCATAGAATTCTTAAAAAAGATGACTTCCATGACAAGAATATTAAAAGTATTACATGTTCAGCAATTACTTAACAATTTCTGTTCAATTTCTATGAGAGCAATGATTTGCGCAATAATCTCAAGAAAGGTACTGTTTGAAAATCGTGGAAATTCAATATTGCAAAATATCAATTATTCTAAAAGGGAAAGTGTTTTCATGGACAAAAGAAATGTTAGTTAGTCTAGAAAAAGCGAAAATTCAGCTTCGGTATTTATTCATAAACCAACTTGATCCTTGTAAATCATTGGGCACTTTGAAGGAAATGATGATAAAACCATAACATTATTATTGCTTAATAAGCGGGTCCATAAAGTTACATAGAAGACAAGCCACTGTCCATATTTGGTTTATGGTCCCATTCATATTATTTTAGTGGAATTTCAGTCTTTAAGACTTTAAATTTCTTAATGCGAGCAATAATACGTTCTACATGGATTCTAACAGAGGCGATTGTTTGACTAAATACAACATCTTCTTTGTCAAGCTGCTCTTTGCCATCAAGAAATGCAGGTATGTTTAACTTAACTGCTAGAGGGTCAAGTAATTCCTGGATTGTAAATCCTCTGTCTGCCATAATTGAATCCCCTTTCTCCCAAAGTTCTGGGTGTAGTATACCACACCTGGAAACTATTTCCTTATCTGACAGCGATCCAGGGTACAACTGACTCACTAGCTCCAGAAGGACTGATGCCCGTTAAAGCTTTGTATGTTACATGGTGCTTATAGTGTGAGTAAAGGGCACTCTGTGTAGTTAGGCTAGAAGGCACTTGTACAAAGATTTCTGTACAGTCAATGATACACCTTGTTGAGGGATAAGTGTCCTTAAAACATATTGGCATGGATGAAACAATCTGATCTTTAGAAGGCCATATGGGAATATTTCCCAAACAGAAGTACAAGTAATTTGACCAGGTGATCAAGTACCGGGAAATGGTTGATTTGCCAAGTCCAAATAACCACGCCAGATGTTTCTGTCCAAATCCACACCTTAACCACACCAAAAACATAAACAATTGTTCAATCACATCCAATTTAGGGCTCACACCAGGCTTACTTCCTTCAGTAAATTTACATTCATCAGGTTCATCTGACCCATTCTTTGAAGGCTCATAGTATTTCAAATTACTAGCATTCTCACCAGGATTTAAAAATTGAAAAAGAATGTCAAACTTAACTGGATGAAAACCAGTGAATGACTTGAAAACGTCTTCTTGTTCTCTGATGTTCTTGGATGTAAACTGTCCTTTTTCCAGTTTTTGTATTTTGGCTTTCAGCTCACTCCAATCTTTTTCAACGTCACTTTTTTGTTTAATCAAAAGTGACAATTTAACCTCCAACTTTTCCACAACTCTTCTCAAATAAGCGCAATTTTCACAGGCCTCTGACGGTCTTGCATTGTCTTCATTAAGCAACCTAGAGCTTAAATAACATGGTTCTGATTCAGGCTGAATATTTTCTTCATTTTGCTCAGAACATCTCTTTTTTGGTAATTTTCGATTAGGTGTGCTCGCACTTTTATTCCAGCTGAAAATGGAAGGAATAGTAGTCTTGTCTTTCAGATCTTTCCTGCCACTGAACTGTTTTTTAATTTCCTCAGGGCGAAAATGTTGCTCACACACTTTAGTGTATTCCGTCACAACAAATCCGTCTCTGTTTTCTTGTCTTTTAATTGCCAAAAGCCACCGATTCCTACTTTTTGCCTCCAGAGGAAAAGAAAAAAATGAAATATTAGTTTTTTCCCCCTGATTGTTATAAAAGGAACTTTTGCAACCAGGAACACAACAATATTTGCTACGGCCACCGCGCGAAGAAGTGAAGGTGTTGTCCGCCATGTTTGATGTTTGTCCACCCGAGCCTCACTTTCATGTTTTCGCGCGCGTGCTTGTGACGAATGCGGGAATGGTCTATTGCCTGCCACTTAAAATCAGTTAACCACCCCCCTCCCCCCCGGATTATTTCCAGATCTGCAGAAATCAAATTATTTGTCACCTTATGATGTAATATAATTATTATTTTACATGTACCTGATCACAAACATGTTCACCTACCCATAATACACGTCCCATACGTAACCACAATCGGGAATCAGTGTTTCTTAAGGCCTTTATTCCAAACAGTCTGAGCAGTACACAGTAATGACATCATTTTCCTTGTATCATGGTCAGTGATTTTTTTTGGCTGTTTGCTGTGTGTAGTACACTACTCAAAGTATGTGAAAATCTTTTAGTGACACCATGAAACTACACATATTGTAGATTAGAAACTGCATGCGATGAGTTCTGTTCCAAAATGTAGATGTGTTGGGATCTCGATCTTCTAGGAAGGGACCTACTGTCGTTCAATTCATAGTGGCCACCTCCCTAAGATGACCTGACTCAATATTTGCATTTTGGGTTGTCATCAACAAGAGTTTAGACTGAATTGAAATGAGAAAGAGGAGACACTTGGAAGAAAATGGTAGCTACTTAAAAACAGAGAAGAAACACTTGAGCTTTATAGAGCATGAATAAGGAAAGTTTATTGTTGCTAAATTTCTTAGAAGGCCGACAAATTACTTCAAATACAAACAGCTTTCCTCATGCTCTTTAAATTTGTTATTCTCCAAATTAATTTTTAATTGGTGATCTCTCATTTAAGTGTGAAGAACTCTTCTTTGTCGACCCCTTCAGTTCTACTAGAATATTGTGGACAAGAAATATACGCTGTGCCAACAATAATTATCAGTTGTTGACAGAGTTAATTGTTATTGAATGTATTAGTTCCTCTTCCAAAATAAGATCAAATGAATGCACCCTTGTATACACATTGAGCCTACCATTTGTCATTCTATCATAAATATCTTTAAATTGAAGCTTTCAAAAAATCAATACTGAGAGGATACAATTTGCTGCTACTCATCGTACGGCCCATTGTGAAATGACAAGGAAAACAACATAATGGTGGAAAAACTTTTAGTAAGGATTTGCAGGCACGAATAGGAGTTAATTCTACCATATTACTACTTTATTATATTTATGTTTTTATATTTATATATTTATATGTATAATTGTATGTTTGTAAGTGCTTTGCCTGACCCTACCTGTAATTCAGAGAAATCTGCAAATGGTGGAAATAAACAAATATTATTATTATTATTATTATTATTGTTATTAATAATACAGCAATTAAAAGTAAAATTTGCTTTTATATTGGACCTGAATCTATTTTAAAGTAAATGCAAAATCAGTGGCAGTTTCACTGGTTTGAATAGTGGAGGACAGAGAATAGCTAACTTGTTGTTTGGAAAAAATTCTTCCGCAAGGACAGATTTTTGTAAACATTCTCTAATTTAATAATAATAATAATAATAATAATAATAATAATATTTATATAGTGCCTATACTCTTCAGTGCTAAGTGCTTTTCATAATTTATTGTGTCACACAATCAAAGTGAATTATCACTGTGACCTGTCTCTTCATGTAGACCTTTGCAGTGACTTGTCACCTAGTGTAACTGTCCCAGCATTAAAAATCTTAAAGAAAAGCTAAAAAACAAAATCACCTCTGCTTGGAATCAAACTCAGGACCTTTGAGATCCTAATGGACCAGAGGTATATTTATATACACCTAATTACAATAACATTGTCATAGAAAAAAACAAAAAGCAAAACAGCCAAATAGGAATAAATTAGCCATGTGATTTACATTTGCGTATTTCAATTCAGTATTTAACAAATATTATTTAAGAATTCATTCACAATAGCAAGAGATGATTCTGTAATTCCGCGCTGTAAGATAGACAGGCACCATAGTCATTTTAGAGCCAACATTCTCCATCAAAAGAAGTCGCACAATTCGAGAAAGAAAAAGGTAATTTGACGCGAGCAATGTTATGTCTCAGTTGTCCGTGCACGTTCAGTTGCCAATCTATTATGTCCTGACAAACGAAGCTTGGTTTTGGCTCAGGTGAGGAACTGGCGGGGGACCCCCTCACCCTGTCCACAGTGAAAAGTCCTGCCTACGCCCCTGATTTGTTGCTTGAAAATTGTGATCAGATGGTGTTGTTCACTGCAAACCATACGCAGACTGGCTTTTCTATTTAGCACTAATCTAAAACACGCGTTGAGTTCCTGGAATTTACCCCAGGCTATATTTATTGAAAAAAAATGAAGCCATTATTTCTTTGGTAGTTATCCGATGTGCTTTGTATTCGAGCACATTTGAAATTCGCTAGATGATTCAGCCTTGAATTGCATGAGAATGACAGTAAGAAACTGACGCAAATGATTTCTCTCATATTACGTGATTAATATTCAGCTGTAAGCGTGTGTGTTGTGAATGTTGCAAGTTAT